TCTTTTTTTTCTTTTCTTTTGTGCACAAAAATTATTCTCGTAGCTTCGTAAAATTACGGTTGAACCCTTGATGTCACTAGGGTTGTGACGGTGAGGAAATTTTCCCACCGGTTAATCAACGTGTGACAACACTGGTAATACCGGTATCACCGTGGGGGCGGGGCCGTTCCCTCTTTTCCTAGCTTTCCTTCGTTTTTAAATAGCTTGTAAAAGCTGCGTGCGCATTTTACTTCACTTTCAAATAGCGGCAATTCGAAGTAAAGCAATTGTTCGTTTTTAGTTTGTTTGAATTTTCCCTATTAGTATTTGTTCTTTTACTGAACTAAATTATTTATATTACTATAAAAAATCAAAACTACGGTGGGGGTCGGTGGGCAAGTGACATAACCGGTGTTGCGGCTTAACACCGGTATCAGCACCGTCTATCGCGGCAAGCCTAGATGTCACATGGATTATTTTACAGATCTCCTTGCTATGTTTCTGGACTTGGGAACATTTCAGTTGTATTGCTGTCTATGCAGGGTCAGACAGCTCTCAGATTCCATCAAAAGTATCTTCATTTGTGTTCCGAAGATGAACGAAGGTCTTACGGGTTTGAAACAACATGAGGGTGAGTAATTAATGACAGAATTTTTGGGTGAACTAACCCTTTAAAGCATCTGCTGTCTCAAACTCGGGGGCAAAACGTGTGAAAAATGTGTGTGCATCACAAGCATCCATGTGAGACTAACAGGAGCGGGGATCACAGTTTAACCAGCCAGGAGCCTCTCCCTAAATCCTAAATCCCCTCTTTATGTGTGTGTATATGTGTGTGAGTGTGTGTGTCCTGGGAAACAGAGAGGCAAACACGCATGAAGTATGTGCCACTCTGCCCCCCGGTCACAATGGTCTTACCAGGTTCCAATCAAGCGCAAACTCACAGCTTATACAGTCTAGAGCTGGACTTAACTTGAAAAATCCCATTTGAATCTGTTAAAAAAATTATAATATAAATTAAATTAAAATAATATAAATTAAATATAACATTAAAAAAAAAAATTTATTTAATTTTTTAAATAAATTATAAAATAGAAAAGGCCTGTCATTATTGACATGTACTGAAAAATCACAGCAAAGTCTGATACAACAAGTGTGAATAAATAATTAGGGCTGTCAGTTTAACGCATTAACTTAATTAATTAGTTATGAAAAAATAACGCGATTAAAATATGTTAACGCAGTTAATGCACTGGCCCCGCACCCAGACCTGTACGTCATCTTACAGTCCATACATTTTGAAACATACATTATGTTCCTAAAATTCAAGATATTGGGGCAAAAAATGCCCCTATATGAGTTTTTGTCACAATTTATATCATATGATAAGCAATACCACATGAGCAGCAAGAGCAATATTAGTATACTGATATTGCTATAATATAATAAATATAATATATTTATTAACTTTTTCATATAATTATATATTCATCAACTTTAATCAATTTTATTACTTATATATAATAATTATGTATTTAAATTTTTGGTGAAATACTAATTTAATGTCCCCTAAAATATCAGTGCTGCTATTTCTGCTGACTACACTGGTTTATCTGTAGATGTCCTGTGTGTCAGTGGATGGTCACCCCCTCTGGTGGATGCTGCTAATTAACATTCCTGTTTGGGACAGTAGGTCGAGGTTGCGAGGCCAACAGGGCCGCATGCCTGGCCTGGTGAAATCTGTCTCCCACACACTGCTATAATCACCAGCTCCTCTAGATCAGGGGAGGGGAGGGCACTGACCTCTCAGTACAGAAAAGACACGTCACTAATTATTGGTGCACATCCTGAGTCCCAATGGGTTAAGTATTCTAGTCACACACTGTTTAGAGACAACAAAAGGTGATGCTCTCCACTGTATGAGCCCCAGTGGTGGTTAGATTTGGCATTTAATCGTGTTTAGTAGCGGTTGCTAAGGCAAGCATCACTATTACTATAGGTCACACTTAATGATAGTGTTAGTGATTTGAACAAACTTGTAAACCTATGTATTTGAAATATTATGGCTATTATGGCACAGAATATATATATATATATAGAGAGAGAGAGAGAGAGAGAGAGAGAGAGAGAGAGAAAGAGAGAGAGTTAACACATTAGTATAGGGACCAATTCTCACTATTAACTAGTTGCTTACAAATACTTACAAAGCACATATTCAAAACACAAAACACTGCTTGACCATATTCTACCTCCCTAATCCTACCCAAAACCTAAACTTAACAACTACCTTACTAACTATTAATGAACAGCATATTAGGAGTTTATTGAGGCAAAAGTCGTAGTTAAGGGTTTGTTATTAGTGAGAATTTGACCTTAAAATAAAGTGTAACATATATATATATATGTTATCCTATTACTTGTTTCGCTTCTGTTTCAGTTTTTATAACCATTTCTTACTATGTGTAAGTAAGTTGTTGTTTTTTAGAGCTAAAGGACAGAGTGTGAGTCAAAGTGACCAGAAACATTCTTGCTGGAGCTCTTTGTTGTTTACTTTGTATTACTGTGTGTAAAGCAGTCCCCCCCCCTCCGTCCAATACCAGTGGTCTATTTTATGAGCAAGCTGGGGTGATTATGTACATTGACAATGTCACATCCCGAAATATATGAGAAATGGCTACTATCTTTGTTCAGAAAGTATTCATTGAGTTATACATAGACTAGCACACGCCAGTCCGGCATGTTGATACCTAAACAAACACTGGACGTCTGGCCTGATATTACATTATAATGAAGCATGTTAGCAGATATACAGATAGATAGACACAGACAGACAGATAGATAGATAGATAGATAGACTATTTGTTCAAGTATTTTTGCTTCCATTTTAGCCTTGTTAATATCATTGTTTTATCATTTAAAGCCTATCCAACTATCAATGTTTTGCTTTAAAATTGTACTTGTGCTATCTGTCTTTAAAGGGGTCATATGATGCGATTTCAAGTTTTCCTGTCTCTTTGGAGTGTTACAAGCTGATTGTGCATAGATAAGATCCCTGAAGTTGCAAAGACTAAAGTCTCAAAACCAAAGAGATATTCTTTATCAAAGTTAAGACTCTGCCACGCCCCCCTAAAACGGCTCGTTCTAACACGCCCCCACATATCTACCTCACTATGTGGAAATATTTGTGTAATTTGCCGCCCAAATGTTCACGCAAAGAAAGAAGGCGTGGTTTCAGTAACCGCAGTTAGTGTTGAAGCAGCATGTCAGGGAGACGCTGTGTGTTTCTAGGCGAAAGCAAAAGCACTTTATTTGGCCTTCTTAAAGTAGATGCATTTAGGAATCTTTAAGATTACTTACAACAGAACAGCAATGCATTTTATGGACGACCGTTTCGTGAACCTAGGAGAGTAGGTAGTTCTGACTTTGCTATGACAATCTGGCGCTTCTGAATCAGCTACTGTTTTGTTATTAGTTTAAGTATTTGCTATTGACTGTTCAAATGCGGAGTTTTGCGCATCGTGTGTGTGTGTGTGTGCGCGACTCTGTTCCCCTTTCGGGCTCTGTCTTTATATTTATTTTGAAAGATGAAGCTCGCGTTTATGGTAAGGGGCGTTACATTTCCGACGCGTGCTTGTTGTGTTCGGCCAATCACAATGCACTGGTTCAGCTGGCCAATCAGAGCAGACTGCACTTGTCTGAAGGAGGGACTTTGTAGAAAACGAAGCGTTTGAGAGAGGCGGGGCATAGAGGACCTACAATAATGTACAGTATTTGAAAAATAATGTGTTTTTTGAACATTAAAGCATGTCAACATATTCTGTTACACCAAATACACAAAATAATGATCTTTAAAAAAGCATCATATGACCCCTTTAAAATAAATGAAACCTGGTTTGATATTTGTTATGAACGCAAAACTATTCAGACTTTTTAAATATGTAAGTGTCTAAATACTTTCGGACAGGTAAGGTTAGCCTGTCGGAGGCATAATTCACTGCATACCATGGTACAGCACGATTACCTCACTAAAATAGACATTCAATTTATAATTATATATATTTTGATGTTAATCCAAGGTACTACAATTAACATGGTATTACCATCGTGGTAGCGTCCAAAAACGATGGTCTACTTCTCTGTAAGTGGTCAGAGTAACGCGTCTGTTGTGTTGAGAAGCACGGCTGTTATCTGTGACAGCATCGCGCGCGTCGCTCATTTCCCCTCGTGCTGATTTCAGCCAATGAGCGCGCAGACTCTCCCACCAATCAGAGACCTGCCTCTGGATCTGATTCTGCGGGACAGATACTGTACTTCACTCACTGGACTATTAACGACCACGTTCAGATTCGACTTAAAGGAACTCAATTTGGATACGAATGAATACTCAGTATTTTATATGGATGTTTCTGTTTTCATTCTGAGTAATTTTATCGATTCTATCGTGGAAAGATACACTATTTGAATTATGAAGAATAAAGTATCTCAAGAGCTGTTATGAACCTGTGACTTTTTCTTTCTTTCTTTTTTCTGGAATTGGAAGCATTTGCAAACTGACCGTGTAAATCATGCGAGAGTTTGCTGGAGTTCAGTCACGCCGTGAACCGAGCGGCTCCGCTCCCAGGATTTACCTGCCCTTCATCTTACTGCTGCTCATGTTCACTCCCAGTGTGGACTCGTCTTGGTGGTAGGTGTTTCTAAGTGTTTTATTGGCACAAGAGCCACTCATTGGCTCATCTTCATTTTCTTTTGGAAATCGAACTTAGGTGCATAGCTACAGACCTAAATTAAACTAACAGAACTGTTCCCAATAACAAGTACGCTCATTGAATTTGTGTCACAATATGGGACAAATCATAACAATAAATAATTAATTTCGAATCAAATAAAAACACTAAAAAAGGGATTTCAGTGTAATGTCTCGTTTGATTCAGGAATGGTTTCAAATTGTGATGGAAATTCCAAGATTAGTGTAAGGAAGCTGAAAAATGAACTGCAGATCAGAGAAATTCTTATGACTGTAAGAATTTAACTAGAAAAGCAAAGTTTTTTTGGGACGAAACCATTGTTAAAAAGTGTGTTTAAATTTGAATTTAGTTTATATAGTAGGCCTACATCATATTTAATACATTCACTTTTGTACAAGGATGGGAAACATATTTTTCCTTAATGCAGTAGCACGGCTGAATTCAGTAAACTAATTCCAACTTTTGTCCATCATTATAGATATGACTCAGGTCCCCTTTAATTATGTGATTATGATAGTCTTTTTCATGATCCACCTGCCGGGGAAAAAAATAATCACACATTTGATCATCTAGAAAAGTAGAGTACAAAAAAAAAAAAAGCATTTCAGATTACAGTAGAGAAATAATGGATTTAAAGTTTGAAAAAAAGCCTGTGTCAAAATAATACTATTTTTATTTTTCATTGAATATAAATATACATTTGAGTCTAAATTGACTTTAACATTATGGAAAAGGTAGGCCTATATAACGTGTGCTTGTGGTGCAGCACATTTATATAATCTCTTTAAAATTATAATTTTTTTTTTTTCATTTCTAGACCAATTTGGTCCAGAGCATGATAACAAAAGGAAGAGCAGTTAGTAATGTTCAGTTAGTGATCTATGTATGACACAAATTAAAAGTACTAAAATAGCTTTTTGCTATTTATTACTATTTATTTGCTAAGTATAATCACACCAATATTACTGGGAGAAAAAAAAACAGATAAAAATGATACAATCAGAAAGAAAAAAAATTGCTCTAGATGGAAGGTGATGGCAGAAATGCATATAGTACTGTGTTTAATCATTTCTCAGGGCAGTTGTTAGTAAAGACAGAGGAGTCTGATGTCTTAAAGTGACATTGATCAACACATTCCAAACTGTACTATGACAGGTCTTGGCTGGATCAGCAGACCTACTTGTGTGCTGAACGCACCAGATAAACACACTTGCTAGGGTGATAGAGATTTTAAGTGACTTAGTTTGAAGTTATTGCTTTTCATCTCCATTTCTTCACTGTATAACACCAGACACGATGACACAATGGCAGACTTCGCCTTTAAAAACGTCTCTAATTGCAGCATTCATAAGTTCCCCATCACGTCTCAGAGGTAGCAATATCAACATAGTCAGCGCACTGCCTAGTGCCCCACAGCTGAGTAAACAACATCATCTCAGTCCATGCTATTTTTTGATACTTTCAATTAAAATGAATGCTGGGTTTCTTTCACGACAGACAATAATAACGTATTTCATGAATGGGAAAAGAAGGGTTATCGTTTGTATAATCTATGTTGAAATAACTATATGTATGGCCCCTTTTGCCCTCCATAAGGCAGCGGCGATTCGACGGCATGAGTCCGCAAGACAGCCGTGGCGACGTGCCCAAAACCGTATGAGCCAGTGGTGATAAATATCTCTTAGTTCCTACGGTAATTTATACAGTTATGGGGATTGTTGTCATCGTTGCAATCAATTCACGCGTAGCGGTTTTCTGGCTCACGTGCAGCGGCCTTTCCCAGTCCCAGCCGCATACAGCTGATAAGTGTTCTGGAACAGAGAGGGAGAGCGAGATTGTGTTTCTGTGTGTCAAGGATCAACAGGGCAACCGTGCAAAGCCGGCAACAGCAGGCCCTCCCATGGATGCTATAGCGAGAGGAATAAGTCTTTCGCTGGGCTGTATGTTTGCACTAGTATGTCAGTGTGTGTGTGTGTGAAAGAGAGAGAGAGAGCGATAGAGACAGCCATAAGAGGAGTGGAAATTGTCCAGTAGGTTTGTACGGAGTGCTGTCGCACAAACCCAGACACGACTGACTGGATAATGAGATCCGGGAAAGAGACAAGGGCGCGTGAGCACAGCGTAAACCTCGCCGAGGGTGTCTGTGTGGTGCGCTTGAACAGACAGGGTCCACCAGGTATTTGTCAGGCTGTTTAACAAGAAACCTGCAACATAATGACAAATATTAATGCAAGATTGTCAATTGTTGCTGCACTCTTGTAGAGATTTGTCAACAGAAAACCATGGGATATGGGACAAATTGGGGTGTATCTAAATTATGGAGAAAGAAGTAGCTCTTAAAAGGATAGTTTGTCTCAAAATGAAAATTATGTCATCACTTACTCCCTTTCATAGTGTTCTAAGCCTGTATGACTTTTTATTCATTTCTGGAACACAAAAACAACATTGGACCCCATTGACTTTCATTGCATGGAGAAAAAAAACCACTCTTTTTTTAAAATATCTTTTGGAAAATAAATTTTTCAAAATATCTTTTGTGTTCTACAGGAGAAAGTAAGTCACACAGGTTTTGAACGACCCGAGTTTGTGATGACAGAATTTTCCAATGCAACATCATGGAAATTCGCAACTATTTTATGTTTCATATATTTGTACAAACTGTCCGTTCACATGTTTTTGCTCCACTGACAGTTTCATGAAATGAGGTTGGGGTGGACCTTGGTCTAAAAATCGTACACTTGTGCATGAATCACATCATACAAATTCATATGAAATGGCCGTCTTGTAAAATTTTTATGTTTTCTCATGAGATTGGGTTGGAAGTTTCATTTTTGGGTGAACTATGTATTTAAGACTCTGTGAACAGAAATTTTTAAGTTTCTGCAGACACAGTAAAGTAGGATAAGTCAGCGCACTGCCTAGTGCCCCACAGCTGAGTAAACAACATCATCTCAGTCCATGCTATTTTTTGATACTTTCAATTAAAATGAATGCTGGGTTTCTTTCACGACAGACAATAATAACGTATTTCATGAATGGGAAAAGAAGGGTTATCGTTTGTATCATCTATGTTGAAATAACTATATGTATGGCCCCTTTTGCCCTCCATAAGGCAGCGGCGATTCGACGGCATGAGTCCGCAAGACAGCCGTGGCGACGTGCCCAAAACCGTATGAGCCAGTGGTGATAAATATCTCTTAGTTCCTACGGTAATTTATACAGTTATGGGGATTGTTGTCATCGTTGCAATCAATTCACACGTAGCGGTTTTCTGGCTCACGTGCAGCGGCCTTTCCCAGTCCCAGCCGCATACAGCTGATAAGTGTTCTGGAACAGAGAGGGAGAGCGAGATTGTGTTTCTGTGTGTCAAGGATCAACAGGGCAGCCGTGCAAAGCCGACAACAGCAGGCCCTCCCATGGATGCTATAGCGAGAGGAATAAGTCTTTCGTTGGGCCGTATGTTTGCACTAGTATGTCAGTGTGTGTGTGTGTGAGCGCGAGAGCGATAGGGACAACCATAAGAGGAGTGGAAATTGTTCAGTAGTTTGTACGGAGTGTTGTCGCACAAACCCAGACACGACTGACTGGATAATGAGATCCGGGAAAGAGACAAGGGCGCGTGAGCACAGCGTAAACCTCGCCGAGGGTGTCTGTGTGTGCACTTGAACAGAAAGAGTCCACCAGGTATTTGTCAGACTGTTTAGCAGCAATAGCAGGAAACCTGCAACATAATGACAAATATCAATGCAAGATTTGTATGAATTTGATTGATGTCTGTGTGTTTTGTATAGCTTTGTGTTTTATTGCTTTCCTTTTATGATGTACGGTGTCATTGAGTGTTTTGAAAGGCGCTTAAAAATGAAAGGTATTATTATTAAGATTGTTAGTTCTTGCTGCACTCTTGTAGACATTTGTCAACAGAGAACCGTGGGATATGGGACAAATTGGGATATATCTAATTGAGGGAGTATGAAATAGTCCTTAAAAGGTTAATTTGTCTAAAAATAAAAAATTATGTAATCATTTACTCGCCTTCATGTTGTTACAAACCTGTATGACTTTTTATTCATTTCTGGAACATAAAAGCAAAATTGGACCCCACTGACCTTCACTGCATGGAGAAAAAAAACACTGAGACATTTTTCTAAATATCTTCTTTTGTGTTCCACAGCAGAAAGAAAGTCTTGAACAACATGAGTTTGTGATGACAGAATTTTCCAATGCAATATCATGGCAATTCGCAACTGTTTTATGTTTTGGCGAATTGGTATACGACATGAATCCATACAATCTTATTCATGTTTTCGCTCCACTGACAGTTTAATGAAATGGGTTTGGGGTGGGCCTTTTTCTAAAAATCGTACACTTCTGTACGAATCACATCATGCAAATTCATATGAAATGGCCACCTCGTAAAATTTGTACGTTTTCTCATGAGACTCGGTTGAAAGTTTCATTTTTGGGTGAACAATGTATTTAAGAACCTGTGAACAGAAATTTTCAAGTTTTTGCAGAGACAGTAAAGTATCATAGGAGTCTCATTATTGCAATATATCTTAATTAAATAAAGGGACATGAAATATTTAAGATGAAATTATTTTATCATCTGCGAAGAAACAGACTGAGATATGTAAGTAGCACAGCTATTGGAAATCAGCTGGGTGGGAAAACGGGCAATTATTCAGTTTAGTGGTCACTGGACACTATGCAAAAATATTTGACCACAGAATGATTGACCTGCCAGAATCAAACATTCCATAAAGCCGTGTATTAAAGTGTGGCTAACATGAACTTTGAAGTTTCAATCTCAAATACAGATAACCCAGAAGAGCAGGCTAACTAAAACAATCCTACCCAACTATAAAGTCAGTTTCACGCGTTACTGATTTAATAATTATGCATTAAATTGATTTATAATCACAAGACATTGGCCAACTACTGCAATAGTAATGGACATTTATACATTAGATTTATTCATTTAGCAGACGCTATAGTCAACGAATGTGACTCTGTTTGTTTCTGCAGGTACATTGGTGCGTTAGGTGCACGGGTCATATGTGACAACATTCCAGGGCTGGTGAACAAGCAGAGGCAGCTCTGCCAAAGACACCCAGATCTCATGCAATCCATCGGAGAAGGAGCCAAAGAGTGGATACGAGAATGCCAGCACCAGTTCCGACACCATCGCTGGAACTGCAGCACGCTGGAGCGAGACCATACTGTGTTTGGCCGCGTCATGTTGCGCAGTCAGTGTTTGTGTTACACTTTATTGCTAACAATGGCTGAGATCAAAATCATACAGTAATAAGACATGATGTGCATAAATTATGCAACCTTGTATCATGTATAAAAGCATCATATTCCATAAAATATCAAGCTGTGTGCAAATGCGTGTCTTACTAAAGCTAGTAGAACCACCCCCAAATCAAAAGAAAGACACGAGAAAGAATATTTTGCACAAGGAAAAAGCCAATTTAAGGACAGTATTGTAACAACATTTTCAAAACAAAAGTATATTTAAATATTTATAAACATTTTATAAATAATATAAAATGTTATATTATTAAATTATTATATAAATATATAATATTATAAAACAGTTATATGAAATATATTATTTAAATTGCAAAATATTTTTATACTAGTACTGGAATGGTAATATTGGTTGTTTATGCAATTTGGACCCCATTGACTTTCATTGCATGGAGAAAAAAAACCACTCTTTTTTTAAAATATCTTTTGGAAAATAAATTTTTCAAAATATCTTTTGTGTTCTACAGGAGAAAGTAAGTCACACAGGTTTTGAACGACCCGAGTTTGTGATGACAGAATTTTCCAATGCAACATCATGGAAATTCGCAACTATTTTATGTTTCATATATTTGTACAAACTGTTCGTTCACATGTTTTTGCTCCACTGACAGTTTCATGAAATGAGGTTGGGGTGGACCTTGGTCTAAAAATCGTACACTTGTGCATGAATCACATCATACAAATTCATATGAAATGGCCGTCTTGTAAAATTTTTATGTTTTCTCATGAGATTGGGTTGGAAGTTTCATTTTTGGGTGAACTATGTATTTAAGACTCTGTGAACAGAAATTTTTAAGTTTCTGCAGACACAGTAAAGTAGGATATGGGTATCATTATTGCAAAATATCCTAAATAAAGGGACATGAAATATTGATTTAAGTTGAAATTATTTTATTATGTGTGAAGAAACAGACTGAGACATGAAACTAGCACAGCTATAGGAAATCAGCGCAGTCAGTGTTTGTGTTACACTTTATTGCTAACAATGGCTGAGATCAAAATCATACAGTAATAAGACATGACGTGCATAAATTATGCAACCTTGTATCATGTATAAAAGCATCATATTCCATAAAATATCAAGCTGTGTGCAAATGCGTGTCTTACTAAAGCTAGTAGAACCACCCCCAAATCAAAAGAAAGACACGAGAAAGAATATTTTGCACAAGGAAAAAGCCAATTTAAGGACAGTATTGTAACAACATTTTCAAAACAAAAGTATATTTAAATATTTATAAACATTTTATAAATAATATAAAATGTTATATTATTAAATTATTATATAAATATATAATATTATAAAACAGTTATATGAAATATATTATTTAAATTGCAAAATATTTTTATACTAGTACTGGAATGGTAATATTGGTTGTTTATGCAATGTTTTAAATATAAAAATATTGTTGAAGTAATTTTTAAATGGGAATCCAATGTGAACTTACTACAATCAGAGCCGATCCTCCCTATACGCAAAGTACGCAAGCTGCGTCAACAGAAAACCATGGGATATGGGACAAATTGGGGTGTATCTAAATTATGGAGAAAGAAGTAGCTCTTAAAAGGATAGTTTGTCTCAAAATGAAAATTATGTCATCACTTACTCCCTTTCATAGTGTTCTAAGCCTGTATGACTTTTTATTCATTTCTGGAACACAAAAACAACATTGGACCCCATTGACTTTCATTGCATGGAGAGAAAAAAAACACTCTTTTTTAAAAATATCTTTTGGAAAAAAAAATTTTCAAAATATCTTTTGTGTTCTACAGGAGAAAGTAAGTCACACAGGTTTTGAACGACCCGAGTTTGTGATGACAGAATTTTCCAATGCAACATCATGGAAGCTCTGACTACAATTGAGAACAATGGAAAACAAACAAAATCTTAAAAGTAAAAAAAAATTTATGAGAATTCTGACCAAAAATGTCTTAAATAGCCTTTTTTTCTTTGGGTAAACAGACAGGTTTTCATAAGGTTATGCTTTAGTCAATCAGCTTGAGGTGTTTGGCATATAACTTTACAGTAAATGGTGCAACATTACAACTTTACTTGCTACAAGAACAAACAATTGAGAACAATGGAAAAAACGATAAAACAAAAACACATCAAAACAATCAAACAAACAAAATCTTAAAAGTAAAAAAAAATTTATGAGAATTCTGACCAAAAATGTCTTAAATAGCCTTTTTTTCTTTGGGTAAACAGACAAGTTTTCATAAGGTTATGCTTTAGTCAATCAGCTTGAGGTGTTTGGCATATAACTTTACAGTAAATGGTGCAACATTACAACTTTACTTGCTACAAGAACAAAAGCTGTGTAAAGCATGCAGTCAAGACAACAATCCCATCAATATGTCTGTTGGATAGATGTCGGGAAAAAGGGCTTTAAAATCTCCACTTCCTAAGAATGGGCGAAAGTCTGACAGAGAGTGGATATTCTCCAAATACAAGTGGCTAGTCGGGAGGGGGTTCTCTACAGGCTGATGTATAAACAGTAATAGGAGATGTAAATATTTGTGCAGATGACTCTGGCAGACAGACAAAGCTGCTCTTTTTGACATATCACCCTCTGTTCTGGCTCAGTGCATGAGCTGGAGGAGGAAAATGAGCAAAATAGGGGTCATTTTGCGCTACTTTGGCGAAAAAACACACCTCAAGGCTATGAGTGCAATCGACCAAAGAAACTAAACGTGAAGGAGTGTCAGTCTGAATCAGTCGAATGTCTAAAAGCTCTAGGGTGGCCTCCCGCACTTAGGCCAGCCAAGGGGCTTAAATCTAGGGATGATGTTAGAGAGTTGATATAACAAAAGCACAGTGGATTTAACACCATAGTAAGAGCCTTACGCCTCATCAACTTTCTTGGCTCTATTAAACTACTGAAAAGCAAAGTTTTTAAAGTTAAAACGCTTTCTGACAACTGTAAGTAAGCCATTCGTTGGCTGACACTAAAGTCAACGTAAAACCCTGTGCGCAACCCAGAAATTATACACTAATCATCTTCTTTTTGAAGGTTACAGTAGAACTGTACTGCATTTTTAACATGCCATTATGAAAAATCTCTCACTTTTCTTTCATCAGGTAGCCGTGAAGCAGCATTCGTTTATGCGATCTCCTCTGCCGGGGTGGTTTATGCCATCACCGGAGCATGCAGTCAAGGAGAGCTGAAGATCTGTGGCTGCGACACCAACAGGAGAGGCCGGACGAGCGATGAAGAAGGCGACTTTGACTGGGGTGGCTGTAGCGACAACATCAACTACGGTATCAAGTTTGCCAAAGCTTTTGTGGACGCCAGAGAGAGGATGGTCAAAGATGCCAGAGCACTGATGAATCTGCACAACAACCGCTGTGGAAGAATGGTAAGGGTCAAGATTATCACATTTGATTGATTATCGTTGCAAAATACTCCCTAACAGGTAAGCAGGTTATGATCCTGAAGGGGTTTATATAACATGTCCTAACATTACAAAAGCTAATTATAAAAATTTGAGCTTGTCTTTTAATCTGGGTCATTGAGTGGTTCATAGGTCATGGGTTGAGTTCTGTTTTCTTTAGGCAGTAAAGCGTTTTATGAAGACTGAATGCAAGTGTCATGGAGTCAGTGGGTCATGTGCTCTCAGGACATGCTGGCTGGCTATGTCTGATTTCCGGCGAACAGGGGACTACTTGAGAAAGAAGTACAATACTGCTGTAGAGGTCACCATGAACCAGGATGGTTCAGGCTTCATGGTTGCTGACCGAGATTACAAGAGAACGACCAAAAATGATCTAGTATACACTGAGAACTCTCCAGACTATTGTCTAATGGACCGTTTGGCAGGTAAGCAACAAAGAGCATGCTAAATGTTTTTATACCATGATAGCTGGGATATCAAAAAGTAATTGGGCAATATTCTGTCAAAGAGTCATATTTCACCCCAAAGTCCCAAGACAAAAATAAGAATTTGTATTTTGCATTTTAAAGAATAGAAAACTTATGTAAGTACTATTTAGATTTTGCATTGTTAAATTTCATGAAAATTAAACACATTTCTCAAATAATTTATTACTACAACGTAGGGTTGGGCGGTATATCGAGTTCGTACACTATATCGATATTTTCTTTACAAGCGATTTGATATGAGGCCATACCGTTTATATCGATATACAGTAGTTTGATACGAGCGCATCTGAAAATATAGCGGAGGACACAGACTGAGCTGCTACGGAGAAAGTTCATAATCCAAATTG